ACAATAGTTGAATAAACTTTTGGCTCTCAAAATGATATCTGTGCCCTTTTTGTTGGTACTCGCCAATACCGATACCACTATTTTAATGCTGGACTGGGCCCCGAGCATTTTTCTATAGCTCCTGATTGACATAACTTGTGATGTTAAATGTGAAACATTGAAGTATGATATAACATCTTTAATAGCTTTGCCTATTGTAACAAGTACACAAAAATAATTTTAAATAAATAAGGCCATGTTCTATAAACTGTCTGATGTATTTCCCAGTTAAGACCTTTTTTTTTAAAGTGTCGGTCCATTAAGTTAAATACTCTCCTACCTTGGCATGAAAATACATTTGCTTTCAATGGCTCACAGAATCCCTGAGGTCCAGGATGAAAAGGCCTTTCTGACAGCGCATTTAATTATGGGCTCTATGTAATTATTCTGTAGATGACAATTATGATCAGAAGGCCAAAATGTCCAAAACGTAACCAAATATTGCTGATACAATCCAAAATTTAAAGCCAAAAGTCAAACAGGATTGAACAAATTACCCTGAAACTAAAATAAAATTCAAAGTTCAGCCCTTTTATATCATAGAACCATACATAAGTAGTTTACTGTGATGAACACACCAATATTAATAACACCCTCACAATTTCTAAATGTTTGGAAATGCTCTCACAGTAAAGCTCTGCTCTGGTGTAATTCATGCATGTGGTGCAATGTGGCAAGCCAACTGATCTCCTGCGTGTGTGTCTGTGTGTGCTGCAAAAGCATAAAGTGCTTACTCCGGCTTGGTTATAGACGAGTGCCATTATAGACGAGTGCGGTTATATAGAGATGCCATTATGAAAAAGCAACTGTGTTTACTCCCTAAACCTTTAAGAAGATTGGTGCGGTTTGGGTCAGGTGCGTCCATTTCTTGTGTTTGTGTGTTCAAGCCAGGGAGTTAAGTGTGTACCAGGCACGTGAGGGTCCTTTTTTTTTTTCTTTGTCTTTGATCCGCTGCAAACTGTTCATGCAAACACGTGAAAATGTGGCTGCTGAAAAGGAGGGTAAGATCAAGAGGAGAAAAAGATAAGGTGACATAAAGATGGAGAGCAGAAAACAAAAAAGAGAGAGGTGTGCGTTGGGGTAAAGACAGGAAGGACAGAGAGAGCTTATGCTTCAGTTGAGGTGAAGTCATGCGAACTGTGCTGCAGCTTTCTATTATGCCTGAACAGGTCAAGTTTGAACATAATGAATTGTTTTTAACTGCAACACCTGAAGCACATCACTACAGACACAAGCTAGAAAGAAGCACGCAAATATCCAGTCCCTCACCCATCTCAAACCCAAAACACAGATGCAAGTTGAACACTAAGAAGGAACCTCATTAAGAAGTAAGAGGCACTCTGGTTCAGTCGCACGGCAACTTAGTTACCATGTGTTACATGTGCAAAATCAAACTCCTGTTGTTTTTGCCCTTTGAAATAAAGCTCCCTTTGCTGCTAAGGGAATCTGGGAATTATGGATCCCTATAAAAAGTAACTGGAGTGTGTTTTTTTTTTTTTTGCCGCTGTCTTTTGTTAATGATGAGTTTCTTCTTGAAAGCTTCCTGAACAGAACTGATCCATCAGTAAAGTGTTACAGTCTGGAAAAAAAAAAAATCAAAATACAGACTTTTTAAACAGTCTAAAGGCCACCATATATGGAAGATGATTATGGCAACTGGATAAAAATATATATATTTTTGTGTTTTCTTTTAGTTTATAATAGGAAAGAAGTCTGAATTCCCACTTAAATCTTAGAATTCTGAATTTTTTTGTAGAATTCTGACTTTTTTCTCTGAATTCTGAGATTAAAGTCAGAATTCTTACTTTTTTCCATATTAAAATAAAAAAAAAATAAAAAAGATCTGTTAACTTTAAAAAAAAAAAAATCCCAGTGGCCCTAATCCTCTTCTTTACCCATATATAGGGGCGTACTGTATGCAAACTGTGAGCTGCCGAAGTCTGCATGTACTGTCCACAGACGGTTAAGACTTAATACTGGAGAGTTTCTGTCATAGAGTGAACATACGAGGACGTTCTTTAGCCTTAAAAAAAAAACAATAATAAAAGAAGGTGGTACAACAGGGAATGAAACCAGACCAGGGAGGAAGACGGGAAATATATAATAAAATATTCCCCCAGTTATTAGGTTTAGGTAAAAAATGTAAGTACAGAGACATAGAAAGCTGATTTGGCACTGCAAAGACCAGGGATGACCTCTGTCAAACATGAAACAGTGTCAGGAACATCCGTGGATGTAATGCAGTCTGACTGCTTCAGTTGAGTTTTTTTACTATCTTGTTTCACCTTTTATTAGTCGACAGATATTAATCAGATTTATTGGTCGTAATTGTGCCTCACCAAAGAGTTATACAGTCCAATATCTTGCACCATGCAGCGTGGTAGAAGTTACAGCCATATCAAGCTCACACAATGTGACGTGTTTAAGCCAAATATTAAGCAAGTTGTGCCGTGCCATAGATGACTTCTTGCCACCTCTGTGTGTTTTCTGAAAGAACTGAGATGTGGTCGAGTCAACTTGTGGCCACTGTGCCTCTATACCAAAAGGAAAAGAAGTCACCCCTCTGTATTTGGTGATTTAAAAGAAACCAGGAGGGTCTATGAGATCATGGACTTCAGCTTACTTAGTTTATCCTTTAGCCATAGGAGATGTTGAACACTGATTTAATGCATAAAACTATGGATCTTGTTGAATACATGTCTCCTTTAGAACAACAAACCTTAGATGTGAGGGAAACAGTTGGCTACTTGTGTGTTTTTATGAAGTTTAGTTTAAGTCAATTTCACATTTTCACTTTATTTCTTACCTTTTCTTGAGGCACAGTAAATGCTTCCCTGTTCCTTTGCTGTTACATTTGCTGTATCAAACAACTAGGGAGAACAGGTCTACAAAGAAAGATCAATTACTTTTTTACCTTTGATGTCTTTCCTAATTAGTATTTAACTTTGCTGAAGATCTAATATGTTGTAATACCAAAACGAACATGCTTGTATAGGGCCTTTACAGCAAATGCAAAACCTGCAAAAATATGGCCAGTTTGTGAGCTTTTGCTAGGCTGACATTTCACCAGAAATTCACCTGGCAGGCAAATTTGCACGGTGGGTGAAAGACTTCACTATCAAATTTGCTGGTTGTTGGTTACACCTCGACTTGGTGGACCTTGGTTTTTCATAGGAAGTTGCTGTACTTTATTAATACTGGAAGCCCAAAGCCACTGGCATCCCTGTGTCCAGAAGAACCTTTAGAGATGCTTCCAGTTTAGGGAATCCAGAAGCTACAACTGGATCATGGCCGCCCTCTGTAGAGCTTATGGTAAGGAGAGTTCTGCTGCTCAGACAGAAGCAGCAGGGAGCACGCAGCAGTCTTTTCAGGGTGACATTTAAACATCCTTTTTAATAGCCACCTACAAAACTCTTAAGAGCACTTCATCAACTTTATTTTTTCTACCTTCCATTATGATTGAAAAAGGCTTGTCTCCACTGTGCTTCTCTGCCCTATGTCACAGCCATATCTAAGCCCCAATTGGTTGTTGGAATGCAAATATACACAAAAGCCAAGATTTTCCAACCCTTGCGAATTTAGCTTAATGTAGTCTGTGTTTGCAGCTGTGCTCTCGCTACTCTTGTATTGTCATGATATTGGCGCTTATAACTGGTTTGATTGCTCATTCCATTTACCTACCTAGCTCCGACCGGTTTCTCATTACCGCTCCTCTGTTCCACCTGCTCCAGCCTCTATTTAACCTGCCTCCGTCCAGTCATCAGTATCAGATTATTCCAGCCCTTGGTGTGAGTCTTCTAGTGTAAATTTGTGTTTTCTGATTGCCTGATCCTAACCCATTCTGACTTAGGACCTCTGAGCCTGCCTGTTTCTGTTCTAATCTGTTAGCCTGAACCTGAACAAACCTGGAACTGTTTCCTCACACTGTTCTGGATTTTCCTTCGGTACCTCTTCGGATCTCTGATCTTCTGGAATCCTGAGCACCTCCTGGGCACCGGTTTTGGCTTTAAGCAACGTCGTCCTGAACTTTAAGACCAGGTTAGTGACTCACATGTTCATAATCTTCCTCCGCCAGATTGAAATGGTCACTAACCTGTGTTCTCTTCCTGCAGAGGTTCCTGCCTAAGATGCCCTAGCTGTTTACAGCTGAACCATTACTTTAAATAAATGCTTTTTGAGATATCATACTGTCTGTCTGCTGAAATATTGGGTTCTCAGGTTCTGAGCCTTGACATGTATTCTACAAAAACGCCCCTTTGACTTGCTAGAATCCTGACCTTCACAATGCTTGCAGCACGTCTGAGCCTCCTTTTACATAGGATAACGTCTAAATCATTCGCTTAGAACGCACCTTTAGACTCCACCTTGCTCCTCTTCCTGTTCGACAGCTGCGACTCATGTGGTGGGAAGAACAGGGATAGGGACACCCAGCTGAAATTATGAATATTTCCTACAAAGACTTAATGGGTTTCTTGACACTTGGGATTAGACGCTTTTCTTATAATGGCAAGTGGAAACCAGATGGTAGAGAGGGGCCAGATTTTGTTAAAGATGTGGATATGAGAAAAAAAAAGTGAATACAAAAGCAAAAGTAGGAACAATGAAATTATGTCTGTACAAATGTTGGAAACAAACCAGTGTTGTTAGGTTTATAAATCCGAAATGTCAACAAATGTTTTATGCATTAAAAACATGAGTACACATTTTGCAGTGTTCTTTTGCAAAAGTAAAATAGTTTTGCAATTTCTTTACTTTCCAATGAGAACTTTGTTTTCCCAAACCGACTCGTTTTCTATGGGCTTTGTCACATCAATGCAATAAACAACTTTTAAAAGTAAAGTTATGGTAAGTTTAATTGAAAGGGTTATTATTGACGCTACATTCTAATGTAACTAAAGGTTACATTATTAATAAAAAACAGTGAGAGTAACAGTGACAGAGTGCCATGAACATAAGCAAACCTGTATAGTTGTTGGTGGTGAAGACCTGAGTCTGCATCTCTGTTAGAGCCTCTGTCTGAGCTTCTGTGGGTGACTCTGTCGACTCCTCTGTGGGTGTTTGGGCTACAGTCTGCAGGTCAGGCTGCAGTGGGACTGTGCTCCCCGCCCAGTCTTCAAGCAGCAGAGTGGCAGTGGTTGACTGTGAGTCCTTTGTGCTCTGAGAGGAGCCGTGTGCCAGGAGCAGAGAGCAGAGCAGGGGAAGCAGCATCATCCGGAGGTGGCTGCCAGAGCGTTCACTGCTTGATCTGTCCCTGAGTGACATGGTGTCAGGAGTTGAAGAGGATAAGAAAGAGAACTCACTGCTTCATAGTTAGGCTTCCAGACAAAATGAAGAATCCTTAACAGCGGAAGTTTGTTGAATTCCTTTTATTCCTTTCCGTTTTCTTTTCTTCTTCTTTGTCCTCTTCTGAATTTTTTCTTAAACCTTTCCTGAATAAAATTAAACTGTGTTTCCCTTCATGGTCTTGCCGTGATGCTTTACAGAGAGAAAAAGGATGTGAGAGATGGTTGTACGTACACGTACAAGCTGCACCCAGCTGTAATCTGCCTGCTCTCACCGCTCTCCACTTACTGCTAGTCTTTCTCCAGCCTCCTCCTCCTCTCCACCCGTCATTTGCTCTGCTGCTTACTCTCTCCTCTTGATCTCCAGCTGGGCTGACTGAGCTGTTGCATAATACCAACTCATTTGCTGAGCTGTAACTCATGCAGACTTAAATCCAGATATTCTTGGTCACAGTGCTTTTCCTATTTACCCTTGTAACTCTATCCCATTTGAGTTTGAATAGAGGGGCTGTTGCGTCTAAGATTTGATTCAAGAAACTTTTGGCTTTCTCAATGAAGGCCTTAAGGTGCAATCTCTCTGGTGAATGAGGTTGTTGTGGTTGGAAAAGTCCCCACCACTTTCTGTTCTCATACAATCCTCAAATAAGACTTTAATCCACTAAACTTTATAGTTTTTGAAAAAGTTTTAAGCACAAAACATGAAATGTTTTAGCATCTCTAGAGTAACAATTGTCTGACAAGTAGATTTTAGCAGGTCAATTAAGCTGCATTCAATTAAGAAACATTCACCTTGTTGCTAAGCAGCAGAAGTTATAATTATATTTGGATGATGGAGGCATTATGTTTTTAATGTTAGAAAATGTTTCCAAGCAGTCACATGTGTGTTCCTTATGACCAAAAGGTTTGTTGCTTTCTCATTCAGCTGACCAGCAGTGCACAGCAACACATTTATTGTGCAAGTCTGGGAAGGGAACATCCTTTGGCAAGCCGTACAGCTGGAGGAATTTTGCATTTATTTAATGATTTTTCATTGGTCATTTTTAAAATTTTTTTCATTAAAATACCTCTTGCTTGAGACAAAAACAGTGTAATTTAATCAGTTTTCCACTAATTTCTTGAAGTTTATGCTGTGCACAATGGAACATTGTCATGATATATCGCTAAGGCCATGCTACATGCCAGTGCATGCCTGTGCCGATACGTTACATGATTAGCTGAATGTTGCCACACGATGTAAAACATTGCGGTTGCCCAGACAACGATAATAACAACACAGCGTCCGAGCAACTGCAGCGTTAGCATGTCTAATGATCGATGAGGTTTAACAAAACGGAGAAAAAAAATGTATATGTTGAACAAAGTAACTGCAAGACCATAGTATAAAGCGGGAATGCAGGGTAGCGCAATTGCTAAAACAGGTTAGCCTGTTTTAGCAATTGTTTGTCAAGTTGACTGTTGTTTTCATTGTCTAAAATCTCTATGAAAGGCATAAGATGTTTCATTTCCCTACATTTTCTTAATAAAAAGAATAAAAATAAGTTAAGACTTTTTTCCCACCTTGGTAAATGACAGAGCTCAGTCTTAGAATGTGTCAGGATTTGGTTGAGGTTTGTTGACTCAAATGCAGAGGCAGGGAGGCAGAGGTGAGTTTCTTGTGGATTTAATGAAAGGTTAACTGAACACAGAGGCAGGAAATCCAAAAATCCAAACATGAAAACAAAGTCCAAACAAACCAGAAACCAGGTATCCAAAAAGCCAAAAATCAAACATGAAAAAAGTCCAAACAAAGCAGAAACCATGGAGACATCAGGGGGGAAACTATCATAAGGAGGAAGACTCAGAGAGACAGAGTAGGAGGATGTTTGACGAGGAACCAGCACTGAAGAACTGAACAGAGAAAGCATTTAAGTGAGACTGAAACAAAGAGAGAACTAACGAGCAGATTGGGAGCAGGTGTGAACAGAGCAGACTGGAAAGGAGCTAGGGAAAAAGGAGAACACAAGAGGGCAGCAGAGGGCAACAAACAAAAACCTGAAGACTGAAAATAACCACAAAACACAACAAAATAAGAACCAAACCACTAAGACTAGAAAACAAGGAGCAAAGCAAAACTGAATACTCAAAAAGAAAAACATAACAGAACCAGAACCCTGACAGAATGCAGTACTTTCCTTCAAGACTAACAATGATTGTTTTCTACTTTTGGCTACTTTAGATTGCCAATGAAATGTAAAATATTAGCAAATATGGATAATAATATGTTAAGACTTCAAAAGAGATCTGATTCTTAAAAAATGGGTGCAATACAGTTTGTCCGAGTGGAGCTGCCATATGATGACATCATAAGAAGGAGCATGGTCCCACGCATATCTGACTGTTGCTAACCAATCCTTCCTGGATGCACGATCCGTACCATCAGCTCATTTGTGCAACCAGATACACATCCAGGTTTCAATAAATATTGTAATTATGGTACTAAAGATTAATAATTTATATTCTTAACTCACTAAAGAATGCTAATACACATCTTTAAAAAATGTTTTATGACTTTTCTGCGACATTTTTTATGATTTTCACATTTTCTCCATTAAACTGCTTGTGTAACGTCATCATCGGACATGCTCATAGTCAAAATATGAATAAACCATGTTTATCTGCATTGCAGCAGTTTCTTTCTTCGGGTTACTCACTATACACCATAATGTTAACACGAAAGGGAAACATAAAACTTACAAAGAATAGATTTATGTTTAAATCAAAAGCTGAAAATGTTAGCTCCCCGAAGTAGCGTAGTATCCCATTTCCGGTGCAGATCGGGCAGAGACGAGGTGTAAGACAGGAAGGATTTTAGAGCATTTATTTTCTAAAGAAATACATCATTAACTTTTAAAACATTATAGTTTAGTATGCTTAGTGTTTTTAAGGAGGGAAAAACTTTTTTTTTCAGATTTTGGAACTGATGGCTGGAGTATTAGTTAATTTCTTCCACCTGCAAGAGGCAGGGTGTTTTTAAAAATTACTCAACTTTTGGCCTTAAAGTGACAAAAGTTGAAACAAGTTTATAGAAACAGGTCCAGATCTGCACATATAAAACATTCTAATGCCTGTGGAGAGTACATGCATGTGTTTTAGTTAAAACTGTAGCCTAAGTATGATTCGCACCTTTGGCAGGATTCTTAATTTATACGGAACCCGTTTCTCACTGTGAATAAATCATGTCTTGATTCATGCAGTATCAAAATCCTACTGAGTGGCGCTGTGTCACTTTCTAACATACTATACTAAAGAATAGAGATAGGATGGACCTCAGTTGAAATAGATATTACAGATTTCTTTTTTTTGTTATAATCTGGAAATGTAAATTTTTTTAGTAGCGGACTTTTTTGTCCAAATGTCCTAAATGAGTTATTTGAGGACTTTTAAACGTTGGCCATGGTGAAGCCCAGATCTATTTGAGTTTGGGCGGATCTTTCTTTATTAGGATGGCTTGAGAATTTTTAGAAATTAGTAAAAAATAATCCAAACCAATTTCTAAAACTTTGGGTTTTTTATTATCCATGCAATATAAAGCGTGACTAAGGCTCTTTCTTTGTTTTCCCAGGTCCCCCTGAGCGTATGCATTTTGCATCTCCCAGTCGCATTGTAGCTGTATCTTCTTGCGAGCCTGTGAGTGCCAGAGGTGGATGTTCAGGTGTAATATGATGAACCACAAGCTCATGTTGATAGCTCTCCAGCCTGAAAGTCCGTGCAAAATTTGTCAATAATTTATGCATCTTGGACCAAAAATAGAAAGAAAGACGGATGGAGAGAAAAAGGGGCAGCCACAGAGCGAGAGGAGCAAATATAGAGTGTCAACACAAGAGCAGGAAGAAAATAGTAAAAGGGGAAAAAATAAAGTAAGATTGTAAAGGGCACATGCATTTGTAGGGAGAGCTAACTATTTCACATTCAAAAAATTATCTATCAAACACTGGGCCTGTAAATGGAGATAAGGAAGGCTCTGTTGGGGCAAAATCAGAGGCGATTCTAGAGTCTGTGGGGGCCCAAAGCAAAAAATCCCAGGGGGCCCTACTGACCAGTGTTCATCACCATTATGTTAGGCTATAAATAATCTGACACCAATGAAAAATGTATTAAATAAAACCTTTTTTTTATTCCAAATGTTCTAAACATGAACAACCTTGTTATTTTGGAAAATATAAAAGAATAAAAGTAAAGAATAAGCTAATAAATTAAAATAAATGTATAATAAAATTAAAAAAAAACAGTAAATTACTTTAAAAACCCAATATAAACTTTGTACAAAATATAAAGTATAGTACGTGTAGTGAAATTATTGGTGTCCTATACTGCTTCCAGAATTGCTGCTTACGGGCCTTCTCTTGTGCAAATGCAGACACTAAGTCCTCCAGATCCAAAGACCTTCGCACACTATATTCTATGGAAATAAGCGCCAGTCCTGAAAGTCTCTCTTGAGACATGGAAAATGAATCATTTTCCTTCAGCTTAGTTACATAATTGCTTTCCAATTTACTGAACGATAGGCCTACAACGTCACCCATTCGCTAGGCCACGTTCATTTTCATTAAGGGAAGTCATCCACCTGGGCTGGGCTGGGCTGGATTTTGACTGGGCAAAGCCAATGTCAATCGACATTCCATCCAATCTGAATTTTTATATGCAGTTGTGCATCTCCTCAGTCACTATAGCGTTGCCACTTCATGCTCGCCTGTTGCTGTTTATCTACCGGGTGTTCAGTAGCTGGCTCTCGGGGGGCTCCCCAGCGAATCGGGGCTCCAAGCAGTTGCTTGGTTTGCCTGTTGACAAGGAGCGCCTCTGGGCAAAATACATTATTTACAGCCACGCCTTTTCAAAGTGGACTCTGGAATGGCCTTAAAGTGGGGGATTCGAGCTGATTTTTCAAGCCATCAAAAGAAAACCCATTAAAGGTTTTCACATTTTGCATGTCTTAAAACTTTTGATTTCAGTCCCCTTTATTTTGATACTCTGGCAGAGGATGTAAAGATTCCAAAGATCCCTGAGAAGATTTCAGATTTTTATGTTGTAAAATAAAGTAGCTCTTTCTTAGTCATGTTTTCATACCATCTGGCTATTTTATCTCAAAAGAAACTAGACACTGTATCGGTGCGAGTGACGTTTCAAAAAAAGTAATGTGACTGATACAGGAGTTGTTTACAACTGACTGACACACTAAACTGCGTTTAAAAACGTATCTGTCAACATAATCCATCTGCTGTCTCATCCTTTCCGGTTTATCATTAAAATTATCAATAATTTTGTAGCAGCCTAAAAGGAATA